AAGGAAAGGAAAGGAAAGGAAAGGAAAGGAAAGGAAAGGAAAGGAAAACACGTGCACAAACCTATTCTGTATTTATGGGTGACTAAATGGCCACACATTTACTACTATTTCAATCATTCTCATCTTAAAGGCTCACCCACTGGCCAATCATCTTAATTACATCCTTCACATCAAAAGAATCTCAAAAGGAAATACCTTGGAGCTGGAATGTTTGTGCAAATTCAGAAGGAAGAGTGAGTCTTCTTGCGCAAAATACCCCATTTCATCATCTGCAGTGTACCCTACAGTGCTGACATCTCCCTTGGTAGAAAATGTCCACGCAACTTGATTTTGATCCATATCTAGAAACACGATCTTATTGCCAAGAAGAGATATGAGATATGGAAATGGTTTGATTTCTGCAAATGAAAAATAATTTTTTATTAGACAATGCCCATGAGAAACAAGCTTCAGGTCATGAGAAATCAGCTGTGCTGAAATCCATGGGCCACTTCAGATTCATCTTAACGCATCAGGCTCGATGAAGACTCTCAGGCCCTCTGAGTCTGAGTTTCTTCAAACTACTTTAACATGAATATATATATACATATATATATATATTCTATCTTAACTTTTAATCAGAGCTGCTGTTCCTTTTCTTAAACATACCAACAAAAATGCATACTTTCCAACCATTATTTACAGATTTTTAGGTAAGAAATACCTGATGTTTTAGACATCACTGTATCAGAAAATGGTCCTGGCCCTTTGGATGTGAAGACACGAACCTAAAGAATAAAGAAAGGAAGAAATTTTTTTAAATGTATAGGTGTTCTCAGTAGCAGTAGACTCAGAGACTGATAATTATGAAATATTCATTGTATACACCTAATATGCATTATAGTTTAAAAGCATTGTTTACATCTAAGTATATTGTAATAAATAACTAAAGAGGAAAATATTGACCTGTACCCACAGTTGGTTTTCTACCTAAAAAAGGATAAAGAATAATAAATGTCTCCATTGCTTGGGAAAGGTCTGGGGACTTCTTGAGTAACCCAGATACCATGGATGTGCGGATTAATTTGATTGTGTCGATAATTACCCAATATGTGTTCAACTAATCACTAATTATTATACCTGAAACACAAACAATCTTTACTCATCAATTAAATATTTTTAAATAAATAAAAAGTCATCAACTATTTCCAAGATCAGGTTATATAAAATAGTTAACAAATATGAAACTATAAAAATTATGGTAAGTTACATATACTCGACTTTCTAACAGGAGGTTTAGAAGGAGAAAATAATCAAGTTTCATTATACTTAAAAGTAAGTATGCATTTCACATACATTCTCTTGGGGTCCTCCCAGCTCCTTAGGAGTGGAAGCTGGATCAGGAGTATGTGGAAGCTCACAGGGCACACAAGTGGGCAAAAAAGTAAAGCGATGACATGTGTATCCTCCTGAGACGTGTCTGTCTTCCCTTTCACTGTGCCATGCTACATCCTAACAGGAAAGCTTTTATTTTAACTTTAATGTACTTTATTGTGTAATAAATCATTTCCATTTCCAAACTTTGTATTTGTAAAATTGCCTACAAAGAAAATCAGCACGTAAGATAATGGCCTCAAAGTACAAGATCCAAAGTACTCTATTAAGAAAGCACCAGAGAGTAGGTTGTTTATTTTGGACCTTTTTTTGATTTGGGGTTTGGGTTTTGTTGTTGTTGTTGTATTTTGTTCTTGTTGGTATTTTTCTGAGACAATATTTCTCTGTATATCCCTGGATGTCCTGGAACTCAATCTGTAGGCCAGGCTGGGCTTGAACTCAGAAATCCACATGTCTCTGCCTTCCAAGTGCAGGGATTAAAGACACGTGCTACCACTGCCCAGCATTTTTAGTTATTTATTTATTTTATTGTGTTTTAGTTATGTGTATGTGCATGTATCACATGCATATGTGGTGCCCTTGGAGATTAAAAGATGGCATTGGATCCCATGAAACCACCTTGTAGTTGGTAGGAATTGAATGAGGGTCCTCTGCAAGAGCAACAAGTGCTTTTAACTGCTGAGCCATCTCTTCAGCCCCGCACCAAACTGTTTTATTATATCTCTAACACTAAATGTATTGTACTATGTTACATAGTAATGTCTGTGTATGCATTTATTAATTCATGCAGTCTTTACTTCTGAATGAGACTGTGTTAAAGACACCCAGACAAGTCATTTTGTATGATTCTATACTGACTGAAATTTGAAGTTACATATAAATATTGACAGACACAGTTAGAATGTGTATCTAATTTGAGTACTTAGTGATATTAAAAATTATAAATTAGTATTATTTTTAATTTTATGTGTGAATCTTGATTAGTATAAATATAGAGAGACCTAATAAATTATTCCTGTAATTATTCTATTTAACTTTAAATTCTATAAAAGATCCATAAGAAACTAAAACATTCAAAGTAATCTCCTAAACATTTCTCTCCAGAAGATGTGGAAAATAAATGCAAATATGTACAGCTATCAAGAATACAGTAATTTATGAGGATATATAATATATATATTATACATATAGGTTTTTTGAGACAGGGTTTCTCTGTAGCTTTGGAGCATGTCCTGGAACTAGCCCTTGTAGACCAGGCTGGCCTTGAACTCACAATGCATGCTCAGTCAAAGAGCACAACCTTCCCTGAATAGAGGAAGACTTGTCTTCGCTCAAGGGTATACGAGTAGCTGCGTTCCCATGCTGAACCTCCAAACAAGCTCTCAAGCCATATATTTTAAGTTAAAAAAATCGTAAATTTAAAATACCAAATTGTCAAAGCAATAGAATACTTTCCTGACTCCTCATCTCTTTCTGCTCTGTTATTATTACTACTATTATTAATAATAATATTATTGTTAGATTATTGCTCTGAGATATCAGCTCTGTCAGACCTCACTTCTATTTACACATGCGATTCCCAGTCTGAGCATTCGGGTCATTGACAGAGATGCTGTCACAAGCTGCAAAGACCACAGAGGCTGCATGGGGTGTACCACTGCCTAGTCATGCAGCTTTGGGGGTGAGTTGACAGATCCAAGGATCAACTGTGAAAATGAGTACAAAATAATTGATCGTGGTAGGTAGTTTTTGAGTACATGAAGACAGGCTTTATCCTGAATGTGAACGACACTCTGAGTGCAAGGCAACTGTCAAGGTATCCTTTACCCAAGCTGTGCTGCCTCTCCTGTCTACGTCTGTCAACTGCTTGATTCCTCTGAGCACAGTGGAACTCAATTACTGACAAAGTAGAAATATATTAACTCAGTCTTTTAATTAACCATCCATTATACTATGAAAATTCACATCCCAGGGCTGGGAAGATGGCTCAGTCATTAAATTCTGGGCTCACAACCAAAATATCAAGATTCCTCCCCCAGGAGCTGCAGAAACAGCTCAGCAGTCAAGAGCACTTGATGTTCTTTCAAGGCACCCAAATTCAGTTCCAAGTACCCACAAGGAGTATTCACAACTGCCTATAACTCCTGCGGCAGGGATCCAAGGCCTCTGGCCTCCATGGGCCCCTACACACACATGTACGTATTCCCATGCAGACATGCAAGAACACAATTTAAAATAATAAAGATAAATCTAAAAACAAAAATATGTATCCCCGCTTCTCTCTCGTACCTGGAAGGCAACAATATACCCAAGATTCATGGCCTTAAGTTGAAAAGAAAACACCAGGGGCTTCACACTGACAGAAATCCAGTCTTCGGTTGTTTTATTGGCGCCGCTTTGTTTAGATATATGATAGAAGATTTCAAATTTGGTTAGCACTCCATTTTCATGCTTGGGTTTATTCCACCTAAACTCTACCATGACTTCATTCTTGTTGCCATATCTTCCACTTGGCAAAATAAATATTCTGGGGTTCTCTGGTGCTGATGGAACTGAAAGGTAGATGCACAGACAGTGTTGGAGATAATATAAGACTGACTTTTATCACCCGTGATCATGGTATGGACGTCTTGGCAAAAAAGTATTTCTCATTCTAGATAATCAAGGCTCTCATTCTTAAATCCACAGGTTTCTTCAGAAGCTCATCTAGCTATTTCAGCAAGTCTCCATGATTTCCTTTCAGCCTACCCCATGTCCTCTTACTGCTGTGTAAACTCATCTTTCTCATCTCTGTGTCCCAGACCGATGAAAGGTGGACCAGTTATCCCTAAGAAAACACAACATTCACTCTCATCCTAACAGCCAGGTTTAGCTGATGTCAATTATTAAGAGGTGAGGCAATGACTCTGACTGCCTGCTTAGGAAGTAAAATACAGCATGTAGGGACTTTGGCTCTCTTAACACTAATCCTCAAGGAGGCCGAAAATGATAGAGGTGGCTAACAGGTATCCCAAGACTATGGCTTGGGCATCTCCAGCTTTGTCAGAGTTGAATCAAGCGATGAAATGCCAGGTCATTCTACTCCACAAATTTCTCTCCTGTCTTGAAAGTGCTGTGCAGGGTCTCAGGTCTCACACCTTCCCCGTGTCCAGTCCCATTGCTTCCTCATCTTCCTCACTTACACCTCTACTCCACTCCCAGTCCTTCGTACACTGTACTTCTTTATGGTATAAAACCTTGCGGTGGTTTAAATAATAATAGCCCCCATAGGTTCATATGTTTGAATGCTTATTAGGAGGTGTGGCCTTGTTAGAAGAAGTGTGTCACTGGGGGTGGACTTTGAGACTTCAAAAACCCATGCCAAGCCCAGTGTGTTTCTCTCCCCCTGTTGCTTGTGGATCAGGATATAAACCTCTCAGATCAGGGCACTGTCTGCCTGGTTGACACCATGCTCACTGCTAGGATAACAATGAACTAACAGTAACTAAGACCTTTCTATCTCTTCTTGCTTGGTTTTTTGTTTGTTTATTTTTTGGTTTCTTGTTGTTGTTGGTGGTGGTGGTGGTGGTTTTCGAGACAGGGTTTCTCTGTGTAATAGGCCTAACTGTCTTGGAACTTACTTTGCAGATCAGGCTGGCCTCGAACTCACAGAGATCCACCTGCCTCTGCTTCCCAAGTGCTGGGATTAAAGGCGTGTGCCACCACCCGGCTTATCTAGCTCTTCTTACTCCATCTCTCAAAATCCAGTCAAAGTCTTGGCACTGAAAGGCCTTTTGTATCACTTCAATTCATGTACATCTCCCTCGTCTAGGAATATTTGCTGTCTCTTGACAAAGCTGAAGACTTTTGAACTGCTATAGGGTCATGCTACTCAACTCAGATCATGGCCTCATTTCTATTCTACCACATGCAGATATGATCATATCCATCCTGTGTTAGGGACTCCATCAAAAAAAGGAAAAAAACCATCTTTATTCGTTTTTTAAGATCTCCCCCAAATCTAGTATTGAAGTGCTTAATAAAAATTGGTGAGCCTGGATAATTGATAATTATGTTGCAAATATTCTGAAGTATGGGCCAGATCCCATTATTCTTCTGTACTGCTCCCAGTGTCTATCAGATTTTACCACAGGCCCCTAGGAGATCCCCCGAGGGATACAGATCAAACTGATTTCCACAGAATCGCACCACCAAAGCTGGAAGTCTGAGACACGCTTAGAGCACAGCTGGATCCAAATACTACCTGAGGCAGAACGTGCCCATGTTCCACTACGTCCCTGCCTTGAGCCTTGTGTATGAATATTATTGGATAAATCCTACCATTAAAAGTGCACTGCTGAATGGATCTCTGTGTTTATTGAACCATCTGTTCTATCAGACATTTATAGAAGTGAAATTAATATAGTGTTCTCATTTACCAATATTTGCAAAAATGACCCAGTGAGATTTCAGAGCTCCAGTAAGAATTTTGGATTATGTTCTTGCCACTCAGCAACTACTTCACATAAGCCACTCTGGGCTTCCTGTCTCACTTCTGCAGCTAAGACTCTAACCTGGCTGTGTGGAGATCCAGCATAAGAGGGTAGTGAATGTTTAATAAAAGTGTGCTGCCTGTAAGCATGCTTTGAACACCTGTGAGGATCAGTCTGGAGCTCTTTTTCAAATATATTCCCAAAAAGAAGACCATCTGGACACCTGATGAGGAGGTTCACAGACTTCTTGAAAAGTGTTTTTGCCTCTTAAATATCACTACAGTGGAGCCAAAATAGTGCTTAACCTTTCAAATATTCAATATATTTGAATATTTTATATATTCAATATATATTAAATATATTCTTTGGGAATATATTTACATACTTCTTTTGATGATATTGTTCTAAATTCCAAGAAGTCATTGGCAGGTTATTGAATCTATACAACTGCATAAAACTCAAAAGTTATTTTAACAGTTATTGACTGTCCATTTCAGATCAGGTAAAGTAATCAGCATCTTATTATTGTTTAAAAAGAAATTTTCTTTTTTCTTTTACCTGATTCAGGTGCACGAAGAGATAGAGATGTTTTTTGGCCCTTTCCCCAGTAAGTATACGGAGTGACAGAAAAGTTAAATAAGGCATAGGGCTCCAGTCCTTCCACAGTAAACACGGGTAAGGAGTGCCGTTCAATAGCCAGGAACTACAAGAAAAGCACAACACATTTTCAGAGGAAAGGTTACTGACCTTTGCACTCACAACTAACTAACATTTCTAAATGTTGGTTTATTTCCAAAATCAAGACTTGAAATCTTGGAAACGTACATGTTGACAATTGTTTCTGCTATTTCTTTGAGATAAACCAGTTAAACTCTAGCTGGCGTCACAAATAGCACAAAACAGACAGCTGTATAAATGTTCTCAGGCAAACGTTTAATAATCAAATGTTATGGAAAAGCAACCAAAGAGAGGTGTTTGGCTCAGTGTACAAACTGCATACACACTCTGTGGCACGATGAGGAAGTGCCTTCGAGAAATCGTACTGAAGCAGCAACTCCAAGTACCTTAGAATGAGCGCTAAGTTCCACGCTGTAGAAAACTATGCCCCAGTCCACGGCAGGGGGCTCATTCCACAGGACTTGGAAATTTGAAGTGTGTCCTTCAATCCGAAAGGAAGACTCCTGAACAGAATCTGGAATAACCTTGGGAGTAGAGGAAAAGTTCCCTGTGAAATGAAAAAGGAAGAAAGAAAGAGCGAGAAAGCTAAGGATAGATTCATGGAAAGTCAGCTGAAATGCCTAAACTTCTAATTAAAACCAGCTGTAGTGGTGCACACTCGCAGTCCCACCACAAGGTGGAGGCAGAGGCACCAGCAGTTTAAGAGTTTAAAGGCAGTCTGGACTTAAAAAAAAAAAAAAAAAAAAAAAAAAAAAAAAAAACGCTCCCCTGATCAATCTTGGCTACACAAGACCTTGTCTCCAAACAAATGTCAGTTTTTTCCTTTCCTTTGAAAATATCTTGCAAAATTATTTTTAACTTTTGCAGGCTATACATTTGAGTTAAGAATACATTCACTATAAACAAATAAAAAGACCACAAATATTTTTTTCTTAAGAAGTATGTTAAAAGAGGAAGAGTATCTATCAAACCACATATTGAAGACGGGTGGTGGTGATGGCGCACACCTTTAATTCCATCAGTCAGGAGACAGAGACAGGCAAATCTCTAAATTCAAGGACAGGGTGAGTTTCAGGATGGCCAGGGCAACACAAAGAAACCCTGTCTTGAAAAGCCTGTGTATGTGTGTGTGTGTGTGTGTGTGTGTGTGTATGTATGTGTGTATGCTTGCATATATATGCATGTGTGTATATGTATATACATACCCATATATGTGCTTATATGTATATGTGCTTCATATATGTATGTACATGTATGTGTGTGCATAAATACATGTTCATATACATATATGTGTGCTTCGTATACATGCAAAGCATAAAAGTGAATTGGTACAGATAAAATGATGTACCTGGCAGAGGCTTGAGGGATGCCTGTATAATCGTGAATTGATTAAATTTCGCTGGCTCCGAAACAGACACACTGGTTCTCTGACCTATTTCCTGTGCCGTAATAATCCTAAAGCCATTGATCCAGAAGAGTCGACCACTGTAGTACACCAGTGCATTCTGGGAAATTTCAGAAGGACTCCAGGCTGCAAATTCTGTGATGGTAGAGTCCCCAACACTGTGAAAATATAAAGCCACTGAGTGCGCATTTAGAGTTTGTGGAGGTCTGGTCGGTACAAGCACTCACAAATCTTTGTGCTTTGGGTAACATTAACATCACAACCGGAATTCTCACTACTTCACTAGCAGAGAGTTCACATCTGGTTTTGCCCCATGTTTTGCAGTTGCAAAAGAAAAGCTTAGTGCCAGGTTCTTCCAGGCCCTTAGGAAAAAAGTTGCCAGGTAGAGGAATAAAAATAGACCTATATCTATCACCATGCACAAAACTCCAAATGGATCAAAGACTTCGACCTAAAACCAACCACACGGAACCTCATAGAAGAGAAAGTGGGAAGTACACTTGAACGCATTGGCACAGGAGACTACTTCCTAAATATAACCCCAGTAGCACAGACACTGAAAAAAAAACAATTAATAAATGGGACCTCCAGAAACTGAAAAGCTTCCATATAGCAAAGGACACAGTCAACAAGACAAAATGACAACCTACAGAATGGGAAAAGATCTTCACTAACCCCACATCAGACAGAGGGCTGATCTCCATAGTATACAAAGAACTCAAGGAATTGGTCACCAAAAGAACGAAAACATCAAATAAAAAATGGGGTACAGACCTAAATAGAGAACTCTCAACAGAGGAATCTAAAATGACTGAAAAACACTTAAGAAAATGCTCAACATCTTTAGCCATCAGAGAAATGCAAATCAAAACAACTCTGAGATTCCATCTTATACCTGTAAGAATGACCAAGGTCAAAAACACTGATGACGACAGGAAGGTTGTTGGGTAAAGGAGCAACCCTACATTGCTGGTGGAAATGCAAGCTGATACAGCCCCGTTGGATGTCAGTATGGCAAATTCTTAGAAACTTAGGAAACAACCTATCTCAAAACCCAGTAATACCACTTTTGGGTATATACCCGAAGGATGCTCAATCTTGCCACAAGGACATGTGCTCAACTATGCTCAGAACAGCATTGTTTGTCATAGCCAGAACCTGGAAACAACCTAAATGCCCCTCAACCAAAGAATAGATAAGGAAAATGTGGTACATTTACACAATGGAGTACTACACAGCAGAAAAAAAATGACATCTTGAAATCTACAGGCAAATGGATGAATCTAGAAAACATCATATTGAGTGAGGTAACCCCCGACAAATAAAATATGTACTTACTCATAAATGGCTTTTAGACATAAAGCAAAGAAAGACCAGACTATAATTCACAACCCCAGAGAACCTAGAAAACAAAGAGGATGCTAAGAGAGACATACATGAATCTAATCTACATGGGAAGTAGAAAAAGGCAAGATATCCTGAGAAAATTAGGAGTATGGGAATCATGAGAGAGGGTAAAAGAAGTGGGGGGGTCGGAGAAAAATATATAACTCAACAAAATAAATAAATGAATAAATGGGACCAAAAAGAAAAAAAATGTTACCATCCAGAAAGAAAGTCACAAAAAAGATATAAATTTGCCATCTGTGCAAAAATGTTCAAAGGGTGCATAGGTGGAGTCAGGACATACAGTAACACAACAATAGAGACATGAGTTAGGGTTCTAGCACATTTGTAACTTTAAAAAAAAAAGAAAACCTATTTGAAGAGATGTGAAAAACAGATAGGCAAATACCAAAGAATTTATGGGCATTTACCCAGGATGGAAGGCTCCGCTTACCCAGAGTGTAGTAGCCACAAGAACCCCAATTCACAGAAATGCAAGGTAGTTTTGTTATTACCATAGGTGCCATAAACTGTGTCCCTGGCCAGGGCATCTTTCTGGTCTACCTAATAACTCCACTCAATCTTCTCCCTTGAAATCAGTTCACATGAAACCAACAAGAAGAGCCTACATTCCCACTTGATTATACCCATACCCCTCTGCAGATGAATGAATTGGCCAGCGGTATAGGTTGATACTTCAGCAGTAGATAGGTAACCGTCTATGAAATATGAGCATAACAATACCAAAAATTCTATGTCTAGGTGAAGCCTATCTCCCCTCCTCTGGGCAGTCTCAGAAAATAAAGAGGTCTATTAGGAAAGGCAAAGCATTCTCTTCAAGCCTTCCAGGGACCGCCTTACCTCCGTCCTCGAAGAACAGCTGTGTACAGATGAATACACTGATTGCCCTGCACCAGCCAGTACAGGAACCCATCGCTGAGGTCTAAAGTCAGGGCAATAACCTAAACAGAAAATAAGGGAAGAAAATGTGCCCGGCCTGAGGAAACAGCTCAGAGTCGAGACCTTGCCTAGCACGCTTACAAACACTCGCTCAATCCCCCATGCTACAAAAACAAAAAGAATGCGCGTCAAACACAGATCTAAAGAATACCTTTGTGAGTAGGGGAGACGCCGACTATAAGTTTATTTTCAAGGACTTTTACCTTCACGAAACATCAAAATCATGTTATTTATAGAAATGTGCACGGATTTCCTGAAACTCTTCAAAAAGCAGGAATACCAATTATTCGGTTTTATACGCTTACTTCTGGGATTATCAAAGTGGGGTTCTCAGCTGAGCAGCACCCCAAAACTGTCAAAGAATACAATTCCCAACCCACTGCAGAGCTGCTCAGTTTGAAATGGAATTTCTATCAAGCCTAGTCTAAAACTAGCTGTGACGTTAGACTCTTTAGCCCCACAGGGGAATGACTTCTGCTGGATATTAAGCCATTTATTCTCCAAGAATACTGAACAACAGAGTTTTTGTCTTAATTTGGCAGCATCCTGTCATATTATGATCTCTGAGGGGTAAAAATGAATCTCTAAGATGTTTTAAAACTCCCATATAATTCCTGTGTGCCACCTGCTCACACACAGCTATAAGCCCAGCATTTAGGAAGTGGAAATCTTCGCCAGAAGACCAGGAGTTCAAAGTCAGCCTCAGTTGCACAGAAAATTAAAGACTAGTCATGGCTACATGAGACTCTACCCATCCCCAAAAAGAATAGTGTGTTTTCTGTTGACTGAATCCAAAAGCATTCTGACACAGTTGATACATACATACATACATACACACACACACACACACACAGAGCTGGGTGGTGGTGGTGCATGCCTTTAATTCCAGCACTCAGGAGGCAGAGGCAGGTGAATCTTTGAGTTTGAGGACAGTCTGGTCTACAGATCTAGTTCCAGGACAGTTAGAACTGTTACACAGAAAAACCCTCTCGAAAAAAAAAAAAGATACACACAGAATGTTCATATGTTATAATTGGATAATCAAGTATATAAGGTCTTGCTTTCAGATAAAATGTAAAAACCATCCATTATTATTATTTCTTTGTCTTCTATTGAAACCTATATCTTAGTTTCATATCTGTTTGTCTAGGTGGGTCCTGAGGAAATAATGTTCTAGGAACCAGAACGCATAAGACATAAGGAACCATTGATGGGACCTTTCTGTTGCTTGTTGCTTTCTTTGGCTTTATAGATATTATATATTCTCTAATAGCTGAGAATAGTGGAGTTGCCTACAGCACACCCAGATGCTCAGGGCCACTGTAAAGGATTAAAGTAGTGACAGCACCCTTAACAAGCTACAGCACAACTAAAGAACAAGGAGAGGCGGGATGATGGAGCACATCTGTGATCCCAATATCCAGGAAGTGGAGGCAGGATGACCAGGAGAGAAGGCTTTCCTTCTCAGAAAGGACATAAGGAGGAGGAAGGGAGGATACAAAGTTGCCTGGGCAGGAGGGAGGAGACAAGCAGGCCGAAAGAATTGGAAAAGAAAATGAGAAATCATAAGTTATCCAAAAATTAAAAGGATGCCGTAAGAAGTCCAAGAATTAAAAAAACCCTTCCTGACAGTTTACCCTACTACAAAGGAACCATCATAAAGGACTTTCCTATAGCACCTTAGTAGTGTCATGACGTCACAGATGTTGTCTGTCCTCCAGAGAATTCTACTGATTCCTTCTCTAGGTGAAAAGTCCTCCCCAGGCTTTAAAAATTAAATCCTGCTTTGATTTCCTGATGCTTCAAGACGTACTGATTTTTTTTTTTTGCAGTAAGGATGAAATCAGATCAGTTTTATTTGCTTATCTATTTTATCGTGTGTGTGTGTGTGTGTGTGTGTGTGTGTGTGTATCTATAATGTGGGGGTGTGTAGATGTTGGTCAGATGCCAATGTTGGGTGTCCACTTTCAGTCTTTTCTGTTTTGTTTTGTTTTGTTTTGTTTGTTTTTTAGACAGGGCTTCTCTGTGTAGCCCTGACTGTCCTGGAACTCATTCTATAGACCAAGCTAACCTTTAACTCACAGAGATCTGCTTGCCTCTACCTTCTGAGCGCTAGGATTAAAAGTATGCGCCACTACCACCCAGCTTCCTCCAACTTATTTTTTGAAACAGGGTCTCTCACTGCACCTGGAGATCACCCTCTGGCTACATTGGCTGACCAACAAGCCCCAGGGTTCTCCTGTCTATGCCCCCCACCAGTACTGGGCAACAGCTACACACCTCTGTGCCTGACTTTTCCTCCTATGCTGGGATGAAGTTGTTTCAGCTCTTTGTCTGGGTATTAGTAATAAAACACACTAGAGCTTTCAAAACCACAAATTAACTATCTCTGTTTTAACAAGAGATTCGACAGGTCTTTTGCCCAAATATAACAAAGTGTCCAGTCATAAGTAAATCCTATGTGTGGCCATTCTCATCCTCTGTGTCTGTCCATAGTCCTGTGTCTAAATTAATTAGATGGTGTCCCATAGACGTCTGTAACAGTCATCACATCTAGTGTAGTCTGATCTAAACTGAAGTTTAATGCTCTAAAATGAATTTGTCAAATACAAAAAATAAATTAATACATGTTAGATGTATCTCTTTTCTTCATTATATAATAAAAACGGCTTTATCGTTCTGTTTGCTCTTTGTTTCCTGATTGCTGTCTGTAATTTGTTCATGCCAACAAGCCTGGTGCTTGCTGCCAGCTTCCCTGCCATGATGATGATGGTACTCTTATCTCAGATGTATGCTCAAAATAAACCTTTCCTTCTATGAGAAAAAATAATTGTGTCTTTCTACAGACAATTAGGCGACTATGTTTTCTTATGTCTACTGATTAGAAGCAGCTTGTGCCTGTGATAAATCCACAAGAGACATAAAGGAAAGGTGGAGAGGTCTACAGGTTTGCCCAGCCAGCACAAAAGATGATTCAGTTGGTGATGTACCGGGTGTACAAGCGTAATGACCTGAGTCTGGATCCCCAGCCTTTATGCAAAAGCCAGGGTGTGCCAGTGTGCATCTGTAACATCAGTGCTAGGGAAACAAATAAAAGGTCAATCCCTGGAGTTCGCTGACCAGACAGTCTAGCCAAACTGATGAACTCTAGGTTCAGTGAGGAAACTGAGTCTCAAAACCTAGGGTGCAGACACCTAGAGGACAGGACCCTGTTGCTGAAGATAACATACATCTTGGTTGCGTGAGCAGGAAAATCAAGCTGGAACTAAGTTGGAAGCTTTCTCCTCGATAGCTGGCTTTCATAGTCCATGAAGGCTTTCTACTAGCTGCTTAGGGAAAAAGGTATTAACAGTCTTACCTCATTTGAAGCCTAGTAACTGCAAGACAAACCTGCCAAGCAAGGTGTGACAGCTCACGCATTAGTGACACTATGCTAGAGCGCAGAGGGGTCACCAACTCTATGACCACATTTGAGGGCTACTGCACAGGAGAGTATCCATGCCCAGGATTGAAAACCTAGTTCAAACCCACATCAGGGGAGTGAATACGCTCTAGAGGAGGAAATGAATACAGTTGTTTAGCTTAACTGAGAGAGCATCAAATTTCCTTCTAAATATTTTCGTTCATGTCTATAAACAAAGACAGCTTTCAACCTTAACCACAGAAGCCTCTTCCTGCTTAGCAATGGCAATGTAGAGACTCGTGGCTAAGAATAAGTTATTGATGAGAGCTCAGCTCTCTACAAGACATATATGCAGTCTCCTCTAAGGCTCAGGTAACACTGCAGAATACAGGTGGACAGAGTCTAAGGGCCAGAAGCTAGAGTGGAGGGGCACAGATGACATCTTCTGGGTGCTATTCATGAACTCACTGCACTTAATGATGCCTACACTCAGCCCACACAAGAATGTTCCCATCAATACTCAGGCGTGGATGGAGCAGAAGATCAAGGGCCTTACCCCTCATTGCTGGGCTATTTGCTACTCTAGAGTCAGAAAGCAAAGGAACTCTGCCTGCAGTTGTGTGTCCACTGGTGACCCCACTTGGCTCCAGTGCATAGTTCCAATCCAGTGATCACACAGACAGTCCTGGTTAAACTAAAACAGTCACAGAGCAAAACCAAAAGTCATAAATCTAAGGAAGAGTGGGGACTGATAGGGAAGGGAGGGAAGTGTGGGAGTGAGGCCGTGATCAGACTGCATTATATACATGAATTAACATTAAAAAGCTGCCAAGGCAAACTACAGAAATCTTCATATTATATTCAAACTTAGAAATTAATCAGTTCTGACCAGCGAATAAGGTGTAGGGAAATGCTGGTCATACAGTGATCTTACTCTAACGGCATTGCTGTTAGAATTCTACATCCGCTACAGTAAGTAGCGGCAGTATTACCATAGCTATAGAATGGCGCTATTTAGCATCATTAAATAATTACGTTCTAATTCTTATTTTGTCACCTTTTTTCCAGACAGCCAGGGCTGAGCCTGTAGTACAAGAGGACTTTCTCCATTTAGTCTGGTGCTCTCAACTGAGTAGAGTGTTGTCCAGTACAGATAGCCACCGACAGAATCCACAGCCATGTCGTTTACCAGCAGCTTCACATGAGCAACAATGTCTGTGTGGCCTGTCAACACAGACTGCCTTTGGATCTAGAAAACATGACAGTATTGGTGGATAATTACTTTCAAATGACATAATCGTTTCTGGATGGTGTATTGCAATCGTTATTAAGTTCTTTCACTCATTTATATCTTCATTTACTCATTCAACCACAAATATCTATCAGCGCTCTACGGTTGCTGGGTAGAGGGCTAAGCCTTGGAAAATAGCAGATACAGCACCTGCCTCAGTAGAACTTTCAGTCTTTTCATGTCTATGAGAAGTAAACAAAGTTAAATCATTCAGTATTCCTAATTATATCTTCAATCAAAATACCCATGCTTTATTTTTTTTCAGGGTCTCTCTAGATAGCTATGTCTGGCCTAGACCTCAGACCAGACTGCCCTTGAACTTAGAGCTCTATCTGGCTCCTGGATGGTGTCTGGACTGGGATTAAGAGCATGTACATGCTCGGTAACATTCTTGGTATTTGACTGGGAGCTGGGAATGGAGCTCAATGAAAGAACATTGCCCAACAGGTACAAGACTCCCTTTGTCCCCATGACTCCAAAAAAGAGGAATTTTCTTAGACTGTCAGGGATTTGCATGTCTTCACAGAGGACAAGCCTTATCCTTGTTCCTCTTTACTATTTATTTTCCTAATTTTAATTCTTTTAATTATTTAGTACCTGTTACATACTAGGCACTGCACTTTTTAATTCTTAAAATATTAGTTACCATGGTTCGAGAAATGGCTCCATGCCATGCAAGTCACCGAAGTGGGCAGGCATCGCTTTAGAGCACCCAAGATACCAGGCTCTAACTTACCACATATGTCTTCCCAGCCCAGTAGAGAAAATGGCCCAGCCATTCAAAGGCCAAGGCACCAGCTCCTGCAATGCTGGGTATGTGATAATTCTCTGAGACATCCATCCCGTTCAGGGGCCGCACATAAACATTGCCTTTGGTGTCACTGTAGTAGAGGCTGTTGTTGTACCAGTCCATATCTCAAAACAAAGACAAACAAATGGCACTTATCTTTATGTGTGTTAAGAGAAGCAGGGTAAGTCAATCACACTGAGGCCTGTAAAGTATAGCATTGACACAGCCATTTGTGAGAACTTAGGATCTATCAAACATTTCAGTAAAGGCTGGTTGTGATGGTGCAGGCCTTTAATCCCAGTACTTGGGAGGCAGAGGCAGTCTGCACATTTGAGGTCAGCCGCACCTATATAGTAAGATCCAGACCAATCAAGGCTTCATGGTGAGATGTTCTGATGTTCTCTCTCTCTCTCTCTCTCTCTCTCTCTCACACACACACACACACACACACACACACACACACAAAGTCCAGCTCCCTCATTGGGTGAAAATGCTGTCATAGCTTAAGGACCAAGTTGAAATATAAAATAAGTACGTAATACAGAAGAGATCACCTTCGGGCAAGGTCACCATCACAGCCCTTTACAAAGAACACTTCTAGCAATGGTGCCCTGGCTCAGCCTCACAGGCCTCCTTGCCAACAGGGCTTCCCGGTACTCTGTTTAAAATGATAAGCAGCAATCTTCTTGCTTCAGTCTCGCATCAAAGTCATGGAAAATCACTTAAGAGCTGTCTCAGCAGAACAAGACAGGTCGCTATTGAAAGACAATGCTGATAAATTAAAACTCATGAGCCTCAATCAAAGCCCTTCTGAACTGGACACAGGACATAACCTCACATTTTATGTAATAAATAACATCCCTGCCTGAGAGCAGACACTTTCTTAACAACAGCACCGACAGAATTTTCCCTTCTTGGTAGCCCTGGCAGCAAGAACTCAGGGCTTTCCTTTAGCTAAGTCACCTGGCAAGGCACCAAGTAAGAATCTACACTTGGGGGAGTGAGCGTGCCTACCTGACACATTTCCTACGTCAGAGGACAGGAACTCTCCTGGGCCAAAACTACTGAGTGGCTTGCTCCAAAGTCCATCTTCCTTCACAGCCATGATGAATGGCGGCTCAGTAGCTATGCGGTAAAATAAAAAGAAATTAGTAAGAAATTTCATGCAAAGCATACCTTAAGGCAGTGTCTCACTATCTAGTACTCGATGGCCTAGAACTCTTTTTGTAGACCAAGCTGGCATCAGACTCATAGAGATCTGCTTGCCTCTGCTTCCTAAGAGCTGGATTAAAGTCCAGGTGCCAACATGCCCAACTAATGCATACTTAAAAAAAAAAAGTAAACAAGGGGCTGGAGAGATGGCTCAGTGGGTTAAGAGCACTGGCAGTTCTTCCAGAGGACCTGGGTTCATTTCCCAGCACCCACATGGCAGCTCACAACTGTCTGTAACTCCAGTTACAGGGGATATGATACCTTCATACCAATGCCCATCAAATAAAGTTAAATAAATTATATTAAAAAAGTAAACTATCAACACTTTGAAAAATATTATAGAATAATATAAGCAATTGCATCTGTTTAGTAGACTTATCTATCCTGTTAAATGTTCTTCTGCGCTTTATATAAATATTTAAAATCAAATGTGAAGAGAGATACACAGCTATGTTCCACTGAAACGGTGTCTAACAGTGCCAGGCCAGACACTCGGGGCCGTGTCACTGTCTGTCACCATGGCTCTCAACCTTCCTAACTCTGTGACCCTTTAACACAGTCCCTCATGTTGTGGTAAGCCCCAGGCATAAAATTATTTTTGTTGTTACTTCGTAACTGTAATGTTGCTACGGTGATGAATCATAATGTAAATATGATATGCAGGGTATCTGATATGCAACCCCTGTGACAGGGTTGTTTGACCTTGACGGGGTCACGACCCACAGGTTGAGAGTTGCTGCTCTGTCACCACAGCCGTTCTCACTGCCCACAGCTACTGTTTGCCATGATCCCATTCTGAGAACCTATCAGGAGTTGTGGTAATGACTAGAGAACGGATACCATTGTCCTTTCATTTCTTTGAGCCAAGACGATGAAATTCAGTGCAACTCATAGACCCCTCAATGTCTCTCTCCAAGACCATCAGAGGTGAGAAATATTACGTCTTAATAAACTAAGAAGAAATCAGTGAAGAAGAAAATTACATTTCTTCAAATATGTCTTGAAGTATACAAGGCATCAGGTAAAAAATACAAATATCCACAGTGATTGATTTGATTCCCTAATCTCAGATTAAAAATTCACCCTCCAGAGGTCAGCACAGCTCATTCTTACCCCTTTCTAACATTTGAAGTAAGAGCTTGTACAAGACCCTTGGGCTATGGCTCTCCTCCCTCCAAGCCCCAGACCGTTCTTACCTGGAACCAGGGTGGTACCCACTGAGGGCTCTGACCAGGGCCCTGGCCCTTTAGGAGAGCTCGCTCTCACAGAAACTGTGTATTGCGTAGCACTCTGTAGCTCAGGTACATTCAGCGTGGTCCCACTTATGTTAGAGAAGACTTGAGTGGCTTTAGCATGGTCTTGCGTGGAAACTTGCACCTCATAAGTCCAGTTTTGCCAAGCAGAAGGGCCTAAGGAGTTAAATGATGTCATTGATCTGGATGATACCATAAGGGCAGGCCAAAGAATACTGAGAAATTGATCAGTAACCTATCTCAAATATAGAGTAATCAGCAGCCATGCTTGCTCGACTAACAGAGTTAGGTGACAACAGTGCCCATTCCTCTTCATGCCACTTGCTCTGCACTATTAAAGGTGACAGTATCTCCAGCAAGTAAAGCTGTGACAGTGTGCTGTTAAAGACATTTTTACTTGGCTGGGCAGTGGTGGCACACGCCGTTAATCCTAGTACTCGGGAGATAGAGGCAGGTGGATCTCCATGAGTTTGAGACCAACCTAGTCTACAGAGTGAGTGTCAGGACAAGCTCCAAAGCTACACAGAGAAACCCTGTCTTGAAAAGAAAAAAAAAAAAGCTACCTCTTGAGTATTGAGACTGCAGGTGGCCATCACCATGTCTAGTTTATGCAGCCCTGGAGATTGAACTCAGGGCTTGGTGCATGCTGGGCAAGTACTCAACCAACGGAGCTACAAGCCCAGCCCTCGTTCTCAGCTATTTTTGAGATACGTAGCAAATAAGCACAATCAGTTTGTCATACAGTAAAAATTGCCCAAGGTTACTAAATCTTACTGCCTGGAGATGATTAAAGGCTGCCGAAAGATGGCCCATGAGGCAAAACTGTTCTCGGCTTCTGTTTGAAAAGTCGCACGAGAACACAGCTTCAACTGTCCATTTACATCTACTTCCACAGCAACCCAGAGTTAAAGACCATCTGTTCACAGACTGGGATCGTTAACCCGCCTTTTAACTGAAAAGCTCCAGAGCTGACTTGCTTCCGACCACATGTGTTGTATTCTGTCTACCCAGGGATGGAGAGCCAAGCTCAGAAAGCTTCAGGGAATAGCCAAAATTCATGCAAGCCCCTCAGCCCAAGTGTGTCAACCTCCTGCCTCGACTCCATTCAAACTAGATAGTCAGTATACCTCATAATAGATGTCCAAAAAATGGCTGGTCTATTCTGTTGAGATCTACTGATGGAATATAAACTAAACTAAACTAGCCATCCAACTGCAAGGCTAGTAATAAATGTAAGAAAAATGCGAAGACACTATTCAAGCTAAGTAGTTGCCCTTGACTAAAGACTCGATACAGACTCTAAAAACTGAATCTCTGTGCTGACCTCTCTCCCTTTCAGCTGGCCACTAGTCACCCTGCACACAGCATACTCACTGGCTCCGATGGCGAGAGCAGGAGGCCTCCATTGCACAAGCGCCTCTTGAGAACCAAACAGCACCGAAAGCTCCTGTGGATGGCCTGGCAGAGGGTACGACTGGATGGATGAGCCGAAGATGATCAAGTTACCAAAGCCAAATTCTTCTATGTGACTCAGGTCACATCCCACGATGAACTCATTGAAAGACAAGGAGTCCTGCTGGAATATGGCCTTGCCGTCTGTAATGAGGAAGTCATTGTTTTCACAAGCAAAGCTCATCACATCCTTAAGCGGGACCGAAGGCAGCACCTGATGGAAAGCAGAGCCATCCAGAAACGTGGACATGAACACTTGCATGGTGTCATTGAAGTAAATGATTCGCTTGGACTGGGGCTTTACGGCGAAGTCCTTTAGCGTGCCGCTCTCCACGATGCGCACAGCTTCTGTGTGCCTGCCAGATGGCAAAGGGAGATTGACTCTGTAAATGCCATCTCTCAGGAGATAGAAGATGTACCTGACAGAGGAGCGAAAGAAGACAGGTGTCATTCAGCGAAAGGATAGCTGTGTGATGTTCTGGGCTAACTGCTTTAGCCTATTACAAAATCACTACCACGTATCCCAGGACTCCCAGAAGTGCAAAATGATAAAGGTCAAAGCTGAAAATACACCCAGCTGATTACAGCTAGAAGTTAAAGGCTTGTACACTCCATCCTGTATGACTATGCATGGTCTTTTAATTCCTACAAGGGGCCTTTTAAAGAATCAAAGTTAAGACTAAAAAAGTATCTGTAAAGATTTCAGGGAAAGCATAATATATACAAATCACATAGTTAGGGTTGGGGATATGGCCAAGTGAGGAAAGTACCTTCCAGATAAGCATGGAGACCTGAGTGTGGATCCCAGAACCCATGAAGAAACCAAGCACAGATGTGCACACCTGCAGCTCCCATGGGACTGGGGATGCAACTCCTGCAGGCTCATTTGCAAGTGTGTCTATCAGAAAATGCTGAGCTGCAGGTTAAGCGAGAGACCCCCGTCTCAAAAACACAGATGTGATAGAGAAATGCACCCAGTTTTGACCTCCAGTCACTCCATGTGCAGGAACAGACAAGGGTGAGCGTGCGCGCGCGCGCGCACACACACACACACACACACACACACACACACACACACAACGCACATGAATTTCTAAAACTGTTAAAAATGTTTCCTCAAGAATATCCAAATTCTTAAGCTGAATTCTGTCAATCAATTTTCTCTTGCCCCGAGAATGATAAACAGAAGAAACAAAACACTTAAGCTCTTTGCATTTTGCTACAATTAACTGATCTATTTTGTATCTGGAGTCACCTAAACTTTTAAGAAAATTTGCCTATAAGTAGGTCAGGCAATTATAATGGTATATGTTTCATTTTGCAAACAATGGAGAATATGCAACAAGTGACCAAGGCGGCTGAGCAGGACAACTCAACTATCAGGAGAAAGAACTCAATAGAAGAATTAAAGATAGAGATGTAAGGCTAAGGGGCTGGGAGGTGCCTCAGCTGTTAAAGGCTCTTTCTATCCCTGCTGGAGGACAGGATTTCTATGCCTGACACCTATATCAGATAGCTCACAAAGCCTACAAATCCAGAGGATTTCAGGCCTCTGACATCTGAGGCCAACTATGCTCAAACATACACCCACATACACACATGAAAACAAAATAAAAATGTTTTAAAGATGTAGGCCATATGTGAAATCTAGTGACCTTCTAATATGGAAAGAGAAAAGACAGAGTTAAATATTTTATGGGCAATCAAAGTCAAATTTTAACCAGTGGGGCCGAAAAGATAAGTGCAGCAGTGAAGAGCTGCTCTTACAGAGGACCCACGTTTGATTCCCAGCACCCACACGGCAGCTCACAAACATCAGTAACTCCAGGTCCAAGGGACCTGATACCCTCTACTGTTGGAGCCTGCTGACGAATCAGCCTGGGTGCCTGGTGGGGACATGAGGACTAAGGAAATGGCAGATAAAGAAACTGAGACAGAGACACAGGAAAGATTTGGGGGGTCTGTTGGTCAACACCAAACAGCCCAGAGTTTTGTTTGTTTGTTTGTTTTTTCCAGAACTTGCTTTTATACAGATTCAGAGCAGAAGGCAGGGTGAAAAGCCATAGAGTTAGTCAGCCACCTTCCTGCACTGTCCTTGGGAGAAAGCGCAGGGAGGCTCGCTGTCTATCGTGGGAGTCCTGCTAGCAGCCAGCAGTTTCCTTTTCTACCTGGCTGCGCCTTCGGCTGGCAGTCACCACCCTGTGTCTTAGTAGGTAATGAGTTCTTTCCCCGTGGGCTTTATTAGAACGTTCTCACTGCTCTCAAGGAGACTGGAACAAACAAGCTTGAACTCTAAGGACTTATAAGGCAGAACAGGCTCCAGATGGAAACTGAGTCATCTGTGGGCCACCACACTCTTCCTGGCCTCCTCAGAAACCAGGCATACAATTGGCACAGACATATGTGCACAGACATATAAGAAGCAAAACACTCATACATACAAAATAAATATTTTAAAAAATGTAACTGGTATATATAAAACAGCTAATTTGTTGGTTAAGAATTTGTGAACATGCAAATAGATGCTAGTGGGTTCATACCATCCAAAATATCTTGCCAGAACCCCGTGCAATGTTACATTCTAATGTACATCACAACTGCTAGGCCCTCTTTCTTGTCATTATTCAGTCTACGATCATTCTTCTTGGTGATCTTCCCAAATCTTTATAACTGCAACCACTTTCCAGCCTCAGGTAAAACCCTGAGATGCAAGCTCACTTTGAGATATGAATCTATGTTGTTTGCCCACTGAAGGAGTGGGCAGAAGGAAAGGCTCTTGTCTGTCTGCTCTACCAAATTCAAAACTGTTAAAAAAGTATTTGGAGAAATAGAACATATAAAGAAAAAATGGATTAATGAAGCACAGTACTCAAACAAACAGGGAAGAAAGCGTAACTCCTACCCTGCTCACTACATGAAAGGAAAGAAGGAAAAGGAAGAAGAGGAAAGGGAGCGAGAAGAAAAACCAGACCGAAGTGAGAGGCAGAATACAAAGGATGGGGAGAAGGGAAGAGTCAGGATTCACATCGAGTAGAAACTCCATAAGGGCATGACGCAATGGTGGGAAAGTAGGACACCAGTGTGAACGCCAGGACAGCTGTGAACTGCCGCACACATCCAGTGTCCTAAGGACACAGACCTGCTGGGTTTTATAGAAACTTTTCTGTCAAAGCAGAAGACGATCAGAAGGGCCAGATGCAGAGGGTCCTATCCTGGCTCATTGTAAAGCAGTGTGGACAACCGCTGGATCGGCTTGAGTCTCAGCCGCCCTGTCTAACAAAGGTAACTACCACAGTATAAAACGATTATTGAAAGGAAGATTTTGGTAATACGTAAGTATAAAAATTGGTGTAATCCTAATTATCATGATCTTTTCTGGTCATATTTCAAAATCTAAGCACAAATCCATTTTATTCTGATGGAGAAAAGGAACCCCCATGGTATGTTTGAAAGGCTGATTTGGTAAGTGAAGTTCATTATCCACAGAATGACCATATTATGTAACTGCCAACAGCAACCAAGCATTCCATAGGATCTTACACCCCCACAAATAAGGGAAATAAGATCTGGACCAGACGAGACTGCATGCATTCAGGCGGTATGGTTATAAACTCATAATTAAACTTTTCATTTAAAACGTGAAAAACCAAAACTGCTAGAAGCAAACAAAACATCATGTAGAGAAGAACTCTCTAAACAGAACAGGAAATGTCCCCAAGTATCAGCAGCTGAGACTACATGACGTTTAAAAGTTTCTGCGCAGCAAAGGACACTATCAGCAGAGCAAGCTGACAGTCCACACAGAATGGGAGAAAATCTAAACCAGCTACACTTCAGGAAAAGGGATAGGATTGAGAATTTAGAAAAAAAAATTGCAGAAGTTAAGTACTCAGGAAGTAGAACTGCCATCAATAAATGATCTGATGAATTCTATAGACACTTTTCAAAGGAAGCACAAAGGAGCCAATAACTATTCTTTATGGATAGTAGTGCTCTATTTGCATATACAACCTTGTGCCAGAAGAGGGCATCAGATCCCTCTAGAGACGGTTGTAAGACACCATGCAGTACCTCTGGAAGGACAGCCAATGCTCTTAACCACTAAGCTATCGCTCCAGCCCCTAATAACTACTTTTGAAAGCATCCAGCATCCCTAGCCATTAGGGGGATGCAAATTAAAACTACACTGAGATACCACCTCACCCTAGCTCAAACAGGTTTGACACCCCAGCCCCGTGTCAAGAAATCTGACCACAAATGTTGGAGAGGGTGTGCAAAATGAGAACACTTACTGCTGGTGAGTTAATGTAGCCATTATGGAAATCAGTTTAGATTTAAATTTTAAACAGAGTTACCATATAATACAGCTATTCCACTCCTGGGCATACATCCCTAAGAACTCTGTAGTGTGCCATAGAGATATTCGCACCCATGTTTGTTACTACATTGTTTGCCATAGCAAGAAAATGGAATCAGACTAGTTGTCCAACAGCTGCAGAATGGGCAATGAAAATGTGGGACCAAATAGAATATTATTCAGCTGTAAAGAAAACTGAAATCATGCAATTTGGAGGAAAATGGATGACTATAGAAACTAGAATATTAATCAAGGTTATCCAAACTCAGACAAAAAAACACCACCTGCTCGCCCTCACATGTGGATCCTAGCCTACTACATACATGTATACGTGTAAACAGCTGTAAGTGTGCTGCAGTATAACACTTAGAAAGGAGTCTGAGAAAAGGTAGTATTGAGTGAGGAAGGATGAAACACAGTCAAAAGGAGATGTGAGTCAGTCAGGGGTGGCACACACCTTTAATCCCGGCACTCGGGAGGCACAGGAAGGTGGATCTGTGTGAGTTCGAGACCAGCCTGGTCTACAGAGTGAGTTCCAGGACAGCCAGAGTTACATAAAAAAAATAAATAAATAAATAAATAAACCTGTCTCAAAAAACTGAAAGAAAAACAAAAAGGACACATGACATGAGTCATTAAAAAAGATATGTCTCATTGTTCTTCTGGTTTCAGCTCTGTCATAGCTTTCTTTCTGTGGTGGGTTAGCAAATAAAACTATAGCTGACAGGGAAAGCACAAAAGCCCGAGTGAAGCTCACTGCTTCAGACAGGCTGTCCTAACCGTACAGAATTTCACAACAGAATAGAGCCTGGGTGGGGCCGGATAAGTGTTTGTGTGGTTGGTTACCTTGATCTAGCTGTGTGATATTTTTTGAATGTAAATTCATCACAATAAAATGATCTTCTTAATAATTGGGGTGTTGGTTGTACAGGTGCATGTATTTAAATCAACCACTCTAGAATCAGAAGCGGGCAGACTTTCATGAGTTCGAGGCCAGCCTGGTCTATACAGTGAGTACCAGTCCCAGCCAGAGCTACACTGAGAACCTGCCTCAAAAAAATGTTATTTGGAGCACTGGACTTAGCTCCCAAGGTTCAGATGAGGAGCAGAAGGAGGGAGAACGTGAGCAAGGAAGTCAGGACCACGAGGGGTGCATCCACCCACTGAGACGGAGGGACTGATCTAAAGGGAGTTCACCAAGGCCAGCTGGACTGGGAGTAATGGAGCATGTGATCAAACTGGACCCTCTGAATGTGGCTGGCAATGAGGGCTGACTGAGAAGCCAAGAACAATGGCACTGGGCTTTGATTCTACTGCATGGACTGACTTTGTGGGAGCCTGGTTTGTTTGGATGCTCATCTTTATAGACCTGGATGGAGGGTGGGGGGGACCTTGGACTTCCCACGGGGCAGGAAACCCTGATTGCTCTTAGGACTAGAGAGGGAGGGGGAGGAGAAGAGGGGGAGGGAAAAGGGAGGCGGGGAGGAGGTAGAAATTTTTAATAAATAAATAAATAAATAAAAATAAACTCTAAAAAAAAGAAATATCTAGAAAGTCTGCAGAACTTATCCTATATTACAGGGTTTGGGGTTTTGTTTATTTGTTTCATTTTATAAATCTGTAATTTGGAGTAGAGATGAGTTTCTACTAGTAAATTGCTTGTCTAGCATGCACAAAGGCCTGAGTTTCTCAGTACTTCATAAAATTAGACATCATGGCTCACATATGTAATCCCAGGACTTGGGAGATGGAAGCAGAGGAATCAGAAGTTCGAGGTCATCCTCATCTATTTAGTGACTTTGAGATCAGCCTGAGCTCAAAAAAATTCTGTAATTCAGGAATTCAAAACTAAAGTGAAAATTAATTTCAGGGGCTGGAGAGATTTCTCTGTGAACAAACATGCTTTCTGCACAAGACCTTTGTTTGAATAACCAGAGCCCACGTAAAGCCATTGCAAGAGCATGCCAGGACTCCGGACTCCAGAGGCAAGATGGGAAGCAGAGTCTCAAGACCCATGGGCCAGCTAAGCTGGTGAACAGTGACAAGGACACACGTCTCAAACACACTGTAGGGGGTCAGAACTAACACCGGAAGTTGTCCTCGGTCCTCCACATATGTATACTCTAACTTCTAACATGTTTTTTTGTGCTTTAAAATACAAAAAGGAAAGTTTGGCTTTAAATAACAATGAGCAATCTTTTCTTAAGAATGACAGTGTAAGAAAATATGTGCTCTATTTTTCATTTCATTCAAAATGAAAGCAAATTTATCCCAACAACAAAGAAAAATGTTTAATCTAACCCACATTGGACATGTTTATTAGTAAAATGTTATTAGTAAAAAATTTGTTGATCATATTTAATCCCCCAAATAACTGTCTGTGTTTTTGCCCAAACACATTCATGAACATTTGACATACACAAAATATCTTCGTCTCGTTCTTGGAATTCATCTCATTCTACATCTCATTGTCAAAAGCAATGCCATAGACTGGCTTGCTAGGGATCTCACTGCATCTGCACAGCCCAGCTGAGACAAAATGTGGGTCTTTTTGTTTGTTTTTCATTTTTCCCATCAGAGAAAGGGAGCCTTACAGTTGAGATGTGTACCTGTTCTTAATCACCAAATCCTGTCCCATAAGGGAGGATGATAGTAGCCTACTTGGAAAACAGCCTCTTGATAGGCACAAGAGCCAGGCCAAAGGATGAAAGGGAGCTGAATGGCTCAGCCACAAATCACTTGATGAAGCAGCTTCTCTCCATGGGCGCGGAAGGGAGCAACGTGGTATTGGTTCCTATAATAAAGTGGCGCCAAGTGCTGGACTAGAATCATGGTCCCAAGGTCTCTAACCAAAGGTCATTTCCATGTAACTACAGTTTGCTGTAGAAGAGGAAACAACCAAATTTGAAAACAATTTGAATTAAGTTGACCCAAAACGAGGTGCTCGGTTGAACTCGTCAGGTGTTATAGAGCTGCACTGACAAGCAAACGTCACAGAAACTTTTGCCAATGGAAGAGAACACATATTTACAAGGCTAACACTTACCCATTATAGGAATCAACCACAACTTTTCTAGGTGCAATAATAGGTAAGGGAGTAATTTCCTCAAAATTTGAGCAATTTTCTAAGTCACAAGCGTATACCTAGAAAATCAAAAAATACAGCAACAGGATTAATGTCTGTCTGCATTCATCTTGGCACCAAGTGTTTCTTGAGCAATTTGGTACTGTGAGTTGTGATGATCACTGTGGACTTTACGAAACACACAAGAAAAGCACTTAATGGGTAATTTAATTGGTGCACAGCTATAATCTCAGAGCTGAGGAGTCTGAGGCAGGAAGATCGTGAATAGCAGGCTAGCCTGGGCTATACAAAATAGTATGGGGGAGAAAAGGGAACTTTCTATTTTATTTCCTAATGAGTTTTTATTTCTATTAGTACCATTAATATGCAAATATGGTGTGGTATTTTGTTTTGTTGGTTTGTTGATTGGTTGGTTGGTTTACAAAAGCACCCAATTATTTTTAAAATTTGTGCTATATACAAGCTTCTGAACTTCAGGTGTGGCAGCAGCCTTTGTTCATTTCATTAAACATGCACTTATAAAATGAAAACTTGAAACACAAGTTTAAGTTAAGAAGACTGTATCTTCTTAAAGATTCCAGTACTTACATATTTTCAGAGGCCTATTAAAATAAACCCAGGTTACCATACAGTTAAAGATGCAGCAGACTTTTTTTTACGATAGATAGTCTTACACAGTGATGCCACAAATACAAGAAATTATCATTAATTAGATAAAGTAGATAAATTATCATTAATAAAAAACTTGCTGGGTAATGTGGGATTCCCCTCTGTATGCTGTGAATATCATTGGTTAATGAAGGATTGCTTTGGACCTATAGCAGGGCAAAACTTAGCTAGGCAGAGAAAATAAAACTGAATACTGGGAGAAAGGAGGCAGAGTCAGGGAGACACCACGTAGCCCCTCTGGAGACAGACACCAGAACTTGACCGGGTAAGCCACAGCCACATGGTGATACACAGATTAATGGAGATAGGCTAGATGTTCTTGTATAGGTCCATGATTCATTGTTGATCTAGTATCTGAAATAAGTAGTCAGTGAAACAATGTTATGTTTATCACCAAATATGAATGTTAATATTGATAACTAACTATATTCATGCAGACTAACCAGTTTATCCATGATGAAATAAATCCTTTTGTAAAGCCAGTCTATAGAGATGGAAGAGATTAGGCCTGAGCCTCTGTAAAAACTTCTCAGATCAGACATATCAGACATATTGGCTACCTCCTTCATCCATATGGAAGTTCCTTCTGAGAAATAAACCACCTGCTGTTGGACATTGACTGCTATCCCTAGAAGAATCAAGCAAGAACATATATGTGGTTAAATGTCCACAGGAACAGAAAAACTTAGAATGAAGTGAATTTGTCTTTAATATTTGTTAAAGTCAAATAAAAGTTCTTATAATCTAAAAAAAATAGTCTTCTGGATTCTTCTAGTATATATAACCTATCTGTGCAAATATGTTGGGTATATTCGTAATGTACATAAAATACTTGAAGAATTTTAGAATAGTATACTCTGCAAATATTCAAGATTGTCAATTCTATAAATGAAGGGGGCCTGCTTGTTGGGGGTTATCTGTCCTGCCCGGCCCCTCAGCTATTTAGTCCCAGAGAAAAATCACACACAGATCTCTGTAAGTTATAATGCTGATTAGCCTGTTAGGTCAGGCTTCTTACTGGCTAACTCTCACATCTTGATTAACCCATTTTTCTAATCTATTTTAGCCATGTGGCTCTGTACCTTTTCCAGTGGGGCAGCCCACATCCTGCGGCTTCGGTGATCTGGGCAGGAGTGGGAGGAATCAACTTCCTCCTCCCCAGAATTCTCCTGCTCTCTTTGTATCATTTCCACTTCCTGTCTGGTTTTCCTGCCTACACCTCCTGCCTGGCCAATCAGCGTTTATTTAAAACATAACTGACAGAATACAGACAATTCTCCCGCACCATAGAAACATTGGGAAAACTGGGGTAAGGTGGGTTTGGTGTGGGGGTTGTTTGTTTAGTGCTGAAAGACTCTAGAGCCTCAGACATGTTTAAGCATGCACCCTGTTATTCCTTATGCTCTCTCTGGTCCCTTTAAGGGCTAACCACACCCACTTCCAGCCACTTCTAACCTCATTGCCATCTTGGTTTTCCCCTTTTCTGTCCGTCTCTTGCCGTGTGCACACGTGTTTCTGTCTCTCTCTGTTTGTCTCCATGTCTTTATGTCTCCCTTTCTTTAAGTAATAAATGTTTACCTTTATGTCTAGCCTTATGTCTGTTAACTATTATCCGCCGCACCTGCCTACCCTGACTCTCCCCTGCTGCATGACAGGACCAGTTCTGCCGCCGCTGGTAACCTGTACTGCTCTGGCGGCAGCTTCTGCCTGGCTTGCAGGCCGCTCGGGGCACTCCACCATCATCATATTCTTTTTAAAGAACAATACACCCTATCAGTGGGATATATCCCCAAACATGAAAGCATTTTTGAATAATTTTTATTGTTTGAAAAGTTCATAAATGTTTTTTGATCAACTCTATCCCCCATTCTCTCCCCACCATCCTCTACTCCAACCACTATTCTTTCCTAACTTCCTGTATTCTCTTTTTCTAAGCCCTCTGAGTCCACATAGTGGTCCCAGTATGTGCATGGGTATGGGGCTTTTTAGGAATATAGGCAGCCTCTCAGAGGTCACTGAAGAAAGCTGACTCTCCATCTCCCAACAGTCATCAGTTGTCAATAGCTCCTCAGTCAGTTATATCTGACTGAGTTCATGTACCCTCCCCTCTCCATGCTGGGTTAGGCCGACTTGATCTCACAGAGAACTTGTGTGTTTGATCACAGCCACTGTGAGTTCAGATGTGCAACTGCTTAGTCCTAAAAAGAAAATAGTTTTGCTATAGTCACCCTGTAGTGTGCATAGCACATTTCAGCACTAGGAAATCTATCCAGAAAGGATAAAGCTTCCAGGTCTTTACCCAGTTCGATCTCTCCATGTTCTATGACTAAAGAATGGGTGTTTTCAGAAACAGCACCTTTCTTCCAGTTCCAGAGGGTAACCAAGAGCATTGGCAATATCCTGTAATATTTCGGGGATCTATGGGATCTCCATAGCTAGCACTGTCTTCTAAGAACAAATTTTAATATTCCTATATTCTAGAAGATTCCATCCAGAAATTCCAAATATTTCCTTTTACAGTGACAAGACATGATTCTGTTAGACTGACCTGTAATATTATGGCGTATGGTATCTGACCAAAGGCAATGTGCTTCTTCTACCAAGTACTTTAAGGACCTCTTTCTTAAAGAAGTTTTTCTGGATAAAAAGAGCCATTGTTCTTCTTCTTGAACTGAAAAACATAATTTATAGGCATACTGACCAACATACACAAAGCAACAGAGTAAGTTTCAGTGCTTCAACCCAAGGCAGACAGCTCTTTTAAAGACTCAACTAAATTTTCTGAAGTTACTTAGTTGTATTGCATCTGTGGCAGACTCTCTCTAAACCCATGGTTGGAAGTAGCAAATATGGTGACAATCAAGTAGGTCTATGTGAACTTGTCATGTGACGTGTTATACCATCCTTGTTCCAATGGTCATTAAACTGTTATCCCTAGTCAAGACAATTTCCTTAACTGTTGCAATCCAGCCTCAACCAAAGTGGGTTAGTACATAACACGGGTTATGTTGAAGGTGTTGCCTTCAACTTCTCTCCCTTTCAAGCAGGAGAACAGTTCTTAAATTTGAAGGCTACAGACCTCTGATTGCTACCCTGTTCCACTGAAAACTAATGCAAAGTGCATGAGTGATGGACACTTTCAGGACCATTAATGAGTGGTATGCAATAATCACATAGCAACCTTAACCCTGCTCTATATTTAACTTTCCCTTCAGGCGTGTTTCATGCCTGATAATAATACCTCTGTTTTCCTAGAGTCTAGGAAGAGCCAAAAATATAGGCTGATGATGGATGACATCCAATACTACAGGCATAGTTGTGTGGAGATGGGAGCAAGCAGTGGTCAAGCCATGGGATGGAGTTCTGCTGGAAGTCAAAAACAGGCCAAAGGAATTTGGAGCCCTTGACTTAGGCAAGACTCTAATTCACTTCTCAAAAAAAAAAATCTAATGCTTCTTCGAAAGCATTTGCTCCTACAAATACCACTCGAGGTAATTGTAAAATATATATATATATATATATATATATGGGAAAATGTCTTTTGTGACAAGGCACAAGAGAAGCAGTGTCGGGTTAGGAAAGTTTATGTGTAAATCCTAAATTTGTAAACACAAATGACCATACCTAGTGATCTGAATGAAAACCAAGAGTTTGTTTGAAGCCATCTTTCTTAAAATGCTTAAGTTTTTCATTCTATTTTTAAGTCTCAAAATTCTAGTATCAACTGTCTCTCTAACCTTCTATTTGCCAAATATGCAGAATAACTTAAAATTTTTAATTATCAGGCACAAAAAAATGCATAAGAGGAAGGATCTTGAGATCTACTTGATGACCTCTGAACTCTGACCTTTACCCCAGTCAACCATTATCCCTGTATAACAGGAAGGAGAATGCTAAACCATACCTGCAGGCGATGGAGTGGTAATTACAGATTCTGCTTCTGGCCCTTCACCAACTTCATTTACTGCTGCAATAGAAAACCTATTCCAAAAACAATTTGGAGAGATGTGTTTCACATGGCATGTTGTGAACATGAGATAAATATAGGAGCAACAGAGAGTCTATTTAAAGATGGTGTGGTGGTGCATAGATCTAGTTACTCAGTGTCTCCGCTCAGCCCTGGGATAGCCATCAATCACATCCCTGTTTTCATTCCCCACAGAACAGTTCAGGGTCACTGAGGTCAAAAGCTCAACTCTGCTATCTGCATGACCATTTCACCCCCTACTTAAAGAACTCTTAGTCAATGCCAGTGACACTAGCCATAATAAAATCATCCTCAGTGGTTAATAAAAAAATACCACTAACAGAATTTTACCTCCTTCGTTTTTTTCATGTTTCTAAAATAAACAAATCACAGCTATGGTATTTATATTATTATTGCCTCATACTTATAAGGGCCATTTAATATATTAAAAACTTTCTTGCTTAGGATGGTATGATTATAATACATATGCAAATTTGAGAAAAAGTACGACTTCAACACAATGGAATAGAGCCAGTGGCATGTTTCTGAATACACTTAATTGATTTTTAGGCAGATTTCTTAAATAATCATCCTGCCTGCATCAATAAAGGTGTCATTTCAACCTGTACTGCTTAGCGCTTACCTGTAGGTGGTGTTTGGAAGAGTAGAATAAAACTGGAAACTGGTTCTCTGGGTCCCTGAATCTAACTTTTGATTTTTACTGATCAGCCTTAAATTATAACCCAAGATAGGTCCACCTGGGAAGTGGGGCGGAGCCCAGCTGACTTCCACGGTGTCGGGGCTTGAGCTTTCGATTTTCATGACGACCGGTGCAGTTTCCGGAACTGGAGAGATAAAGATGCCATGCATGAGGGTCAAAAGGGCACATTTCTGTACTCTTCAAATAGAATAATAGAAAAAAAATGTCTTGATTAATACCGAAAGCACAATAAAGGGGTGGTAATTAGAAATTCTGAGCTGCAGTTCGTCGTCTCTAAATCATACCAGCTAAGTCCTGAGCCCTACCGAGAACCTTGCCTCTTCCTCCTTTTTAACTTAGGAAATAACACTGAATATAGGAGTGTTATGTATATAACAGATCTATATTCTAGACAAAGAGCTGTAAAAAGAAAGAAAGAAAGAAGACAAGGAAGAAAACAAGAAAGAAAGAAAGAAAGAAAGAAAGAAAGAAAGAAAGAAAGAAAG